CACAACTGTGAATGTCGTCCAGTCGGATGTTGCACAAGCGCCAGAGCGCGCTCGCAATTGGCGCCGCAGACTCTCCAGTAACAGCTTGAGTTTGAGTCAAAAAGAACCCTCAAGTTTAACCAAGGCCTGCGACAAAACCCAGCCCATATGGACAACAGGATTCAGTTCATCAAGGTTTCTACCCTTCTTGTGCAAACAAGCATTGATCATGCGCACGCCAACCCACAGCAGAATCACTTCCCCTATCACGAGCCCCGGAAAGCCCCCCCACCGCCCATGACACCTCCGTGGATTTGGAGACTCAAGCCCGGGACGTCCCATGACGCCCCGCGGCGAATAGGAAACCCCATGCAGCCAGGAGGGCGACAACGGGAAAAGTGCGGACCCCTCTAGCGTGAGCACCTACAAGCAAACACCCGCCTCGGCACAGCGCCGGGAAAACAGAGCCCATCAAATACGGCAAGCCCTATGCCACGCCCTCAAGTGTCAGCTAACGCCCCTCGCCTGTTCCCCTCAATGCCTTGGGCCAGACGCAAGCCTCGGCGCACAACAAAGGCCCCAACCCCGCCTTTCAAACCCTCGCCTCACAGCCCCCGCCACTCCGCCCCCTCGGACAACTTGCGTCGCAGCAAAGAATAATCACCCCCACGGCGGCGGGCCGTGTCGGTCCGGCCGCCCCCGTCTGTTTAATACGCCCGCCAGCGCGAAAGGCACGCCCAGGTCCAGTACTGAAGCACCACGCCACCAGCGAAAAGCACACGCCAGGGGACGAGGCCTCGCCCGAGTCCAGTACTTCAGCCCTGCAACCACCCGTCAGGGCAACGGGCGGCAACCGAGTTCAGCACGCAAGCACCACGCCACCCGTGAAAAGCACCCGTTGGGGTAGAAGGGCGTGCCCTACTCCAGTACTTAAGCCCCGTACAACACCCGCGCCAGGGCCGAGTCCAGTACTTAAGCACCGCGCCCTTGCCAATGTACCGCCCCAGCTCCCTACAACGGCGCCCAACGCCCAGGAGTCAGCGCTCAGCTCGCCGGCTCGGCGTGCACGATCCACTTGAGCGTCCGCCAGCTCAATTCCACGGCCAGGAGCCCGTTGAAGGCCATGATGGCGGTAGCCAAGGCCCCCCAGGCCAGGGGCTTGGCGGCCACGCCCACCGGCCATCCGCCGGGGAAATGCTTCCTCAGGAACAGCCGCCTGGATCGCCTGGCCATCGCCCGCGACGCCGCCAGCGGGCCCGCCCAGCCCAGCCAGATGAGTGCGAAGATCGACACCAGGGCGCAGGGATCCCCGGCGGGGGCTGTGAGCCGCTCAATCACGCCCGGGTGCGCGTGGTCCAGCGCGTTGATCAGCCCCACGCCCACGGTGTCGATCGCCGCCGCCGCGCGCTGAATCACAGCGACCTGCGCCGGGGAACCGAGGCAGGCAGCGCACATCCCCGCCGAGAAGGGCACCGCCACCACCAGGGACGCCGTCTGCACCGCCAGCTCCGCGTGGGGCCGCAGCTGCAGGCCGGCCCACCCCGATACCATCGCCGCCAGCGGCCCCCTGGCCGCCATCTTGGTCGCCAGCACGCCGAAGAAAGTATCCGTCCTCGCGGGCAAGTGCGCCGAGCCGATCCACGCGGCGATGACCGTCAGCGCCAACCGGCAGCAGCCGACCGCCGCCTCCCTGTGGCGGATGTACCGCCCCGGATGCGCCCCGACTGCCATCGCCAGGCCCACCGTCATCGCCAGGCCCGCAGCGCAAACCGCCAGGGCACTTAACGAGACCCCGTCTCTGATCACCACGCCACCGGCCACCGCCAGAACGATTGCCGCCCCCGCGTAGTACCTCCGGTCGGTGTCCACCAGCACCAGCCGGGTGTGCCAGTCCCAGAAGACGGTCTCAAGGCCGGGGTCCGCGAATGTCGCCCGGCGGAACAGCCACCCCCAGCCGTCGTCGGGGCCCCCAAGCGCGTGCCCGCGTGTGTTGCACATCGAACCGATCTCCAATCCAGCGCAAACGGGCGGATGGCAGCGCTGCCGGAGCGCCTGGCGCGCCGCCCTTGGCGCGAGGGCGGGGTGGACGGCCCAAGGGGGCCTTGGCTCTGGCCTGGAGAAAGCAGCAGTTGGTGGATCGCGAGCCTACTACGCGCATAAGCGTCACGGCGCCGCATACGACGGACGATGTGCGGGGGGGGAGTACATTGGGGACAGGGGAAATTAGTACATTATTATTGCATAAGTGCGTAAGCGCATTAGTACGCCGTTACATCGGTGCGGGGCGTCGTCGGAAGTACTGTAGCGCCGCGGGGGTTGCGGATTTTGGGGGTGGTTGAGGCAGGGCGTGCGGACGCGGCTTGCAGCTGCCTCGGGGGGAGCGCGAGGGTGGCGGCGCCTTAACTCCCCAGCATCCTGCCCCAGGCGTAGTGCTGTGGGACGGCTGGGGCAGGGGCGGCGCGCGGTGCGGCCTTGGACGTGTCCGGCCGGGACGGACCAAGGGCCGGCCAATTGTACTCCGCGTTCCCGGCTCCCAACCAGTAAAGCCAACTCTGCTGAAGCCACTCAAAGCGGCCAGAATGTCACTGGGCCAAATTGTCAACCGTTGGGGTCGGGAACGAGGAGTCTGGTGCATTGCCTGGGCTCCCTGATGTTCGTTTTGTGTATGCAGTGGTCAGGTGGGGGCCGCGGGGCGGCGCACGAATCGCCTCGCTTGCGCAGGAGATTTGCTGCGCTGGCCGGGCTCCGTCGGGTGGCATGAAATTAGTCGCCCTGTCTTTTCCGTGAAGATCCCTTCTTGTTTCGGACACCCTGAACCACTGACCCACTGACTGGCGTTGGCCTTGTCAGCGAAAGAAGAAGGGATCCTAGCGGAAAGGACAGAGGGACTAGCATATTTTCCCGTCGTGCGATGCAGACTCGGCACGCCGCCCAGTGGGTGCCACAGGGTGTCCTGGAGGGAATGTGTTGCAATCTGGAGGGGTGGGTGCATGACGTGCACGTGGCGTTGAGGTTTGTCACCGCCCTGTACCAGTTGGCCTGTGTTCGGGTCGCCAATAATGGGGCTCGCCAGAAAAAAATAATATCTTAATGACACTACTCTGTGGGCGACCCGTGAGGACCAGAAGTGGGGAGAGCGAGTGTCGACTCCTTCACTAATATAACCGCCACTCAACAGGTTGGTGCGTAGTAAGGCGGGGCTAACCCAAATCACCAAGCGGAGGTGCATACATTCAGCAAATTAGTGCTGTGAAGGTTGATCTGAATTTGGATTTGAAAGCATCAATCAGCTGCAAGTCAATTCTGCAGCAATACTGTGTCATTCCCATTGCATTTAGAAGTGTTCAAGAGGCGTTTGTTAAGAAAGTGCGTCAATAGACGTTGTTTTGGCCACGATTTGACAGACCAGTGTACTTCATGAACGGGACCCCGTTTACGGTGGAGGGCGTCTGCCCCCCTGGCGGTCTGTCCCGAGTTGTAGCCAAGGGCGTTGATTCGGCGGGAAGCAAGCGATGCTGAAAATTCGTAGGAATTAGGTCCAATGATGGGAATGAATGTCCGGCTGTGGCGGGGCTGTGATACGGATGATGTGTACGACAGTTAGCTAACTATTCTTATGCATTCCTACAAATATCCTCTTTGCAGGTGAAAATCGTTCCCCGTCAAAGGGCCCCCCCTGGGGTCCCCGTGCTGCTGGCGAAGAGGCTACGAGCACACCGCGGCACGACGCCGGGCGGAGCCTCGCGGGGGTGACTATGTGTCGATGGCTTCAGGGGACGATGGAACCGTGTCCGCGGAGGGCCTTGGCGGATCGTCGGCCGCCTTTCGCACAATGGGCAGCGCTTGAACAGCATCCACGACTTGGACGGGTGCCTGGACGTGTGGAAATTCTGTGGGGAGATCAAGCGTGGCTGTGAGCACCATGCTGGCCACCCTTGGCGATCCAGCGCCTTGGGGCGATTGGTGGCGATGCTGCAGCTGCGCCTTGTGGAGGGCACTTTGGACACGGATTCGGTGATGAATCGGCGGACACAGGAACCGAGAGGCGCACCGCGAGCCTGGTCAACGTGGAGGTCAACGTGGAGGCGTTGGGGGGCTGCGGCAGCGGGGCACCGATTGGGCGCCGATTGGAGGGGCACCGCCCTTGTCGCTGCGGGGTGCACGTGGCATGGCGAGCGAGCGACCATGGATGCGATCGACGGAGGCCAAGCGCAAAAGGACGCCCCGAAGGCTGTCCAAGTGATATGCCACAAGGTTGTCCAAGTTCTGCGCGTCGTGTGTTGGCACGCTCTCAAGGCGTGCAAGCGAGCAGGGAGCAGGAAGCGGAGGAAGCGGAGCACGCACCGTCATCACTCTCCTACTAACGCCCCTCGTGGAAAAGGCGTCGTCGCCATCAGGTACGCGGTCATCGGTTAATGGGAACTGGGCGGACACATTATCGAGAAGCTGCAACATGGAAACGGCGTTGGAGAATGCGGTGCATTGTGAGGTGTGCTGTTAAAACACGATGAACGGGATTACCAAGGGGACTAGAACATTAGTGTTTGTGGGTGTGGGTGTGAACTGGATAATTGTTCATACTGACTTCGAGCACTAGAGGGACTGATTTGAACGGAAATAGTACTGACAGCAGTTGTCTATGCTCCATATGGCCTTGACTCACCAGCTCATTGATCAGTCGTAATTTAGGATCATTTAAGAAAAGGGAGGAACAATCATGCATTGCCGTTGTAACGGCCATCGACACGTCTCCATCAGCATGATTTCTTTGCGTGATGAAACCTTTGGGAAATCTGCGATTGGGAATGACAGACTGCCAATGTCGATAGCGATATTTGCCTGCAACTGTGCTCTCTTGGCACGCCACCAGCATCGGCCTGGGCAGAAAAGATGCAAAAGGTATTAAATGGGTGAAAGAATCTTACTCCGCTAAACGACCAGCTCTCCTACGCCACCGATCCCATATGCAGTGTCAATCCAACATGGGCAAACGCACATCATGCGTTGCCAAGATACACCACCTCTAGCCTATCCCCCACATAACGCCCCACTCCAGCAGTGCAATATCAACGCGTTCATAAAATCATCCTAGCCCCTCCCTGCCAGCCCGCCACAGCCCGTCATGTGCATGTTCGGGACCCCAACCAGCCAAGAGCGCAGCACTCTTCCAAAAAATGCCCCAAACAGCCGAACACGGGCCACCGCCATCCGTCAAGGCGCAAGTACACCACTTCCTCTTTCGAAATCAATTCTAGCCTGTCTAAAATCCATCGCCTAATGGATTGACAGATGGACGGCCGAACTGTACGACTGATTGCCTGCCACTTTGCCGCCTGTCGCCTCGTGGCCCGCCCAATTCATCGCCACATCACCTCCTCCTGTCGCGCTTCTTGGCCAGGTGCGGGTTCATCCCGGCCTGCCCGCCCGACCTGAAGTCCGCCTCCAGCCCCTCCAGCTCTCTGTAGAACCGCCTCTCGCTCTCCAGCCGCTCCCCGTCCACCTCCGCCCTCTCCCTGTCCCTCACGCCTGCCATGAACGCCGCATCGCGCCGCAGCTCCCTGGCGGCGCCCCGTCGCTCGCGCCTCACCCGCCTCTGCAGGCGGCGGGCCTTGACGGCATCCTCGTCAGGATCGTAGTCGCGGCCCGCCGCGTAGTCGTCCTCGAAGCGGGGGTTGTACAGGCGCATGCGGGAGGCCTCGCGGCGGAAGGACTGGACAAGGGGGCGACGGGAGGAGAGGGCTTGGGCGGAAGTGGCGCGGATGGCGTCCGCCAGCCGGCGGCGCATGGGGCGGAGGGCCTGGGAGGCAGGCAGCCACGGTGGGCGGAAGGCGTGGGAAAAACGTGCATGGAAAAATGTGGGTGGAAAAATGTGCGTAGAAAAACGTGCATGGAAAAAAGTGGGTGGAAAATGTGCGTGGAAAAACGTGCATGTTGCGTTGATGTTGCGTCGTGAGACGTCTTGTCACTGCTAACATTTTCGTGCGGCATTACTTCTTTAGTTTTACTGTTCGTTCTCTATTTAGTTTCAACGCTTTTATTACTGTGTACTTTTGATGCTGCGTATTATTCGAAGTGTACAAAAGGATGTTGGTTGTCTGCACTGCATATTCTGTACACACAATGTACAGATTTATCTTCCAAGCGGGCACGATTCATCGGAACAGTTCCTGACCCAACGGAAAAGTTATGAAACGGTCGCGTGGTGAAAAGCATCGGCACTTTTCACAGAAATGAGGAATGACTGAATCGCCAAAAAAAATCAGATGTGATGTTGTGCAGGCCTGTGACGAAAACGGGCATCTTGTCAACCATCACGTACAGGCGCAAGCGCCTGAAGCAAAGGCATTAACGTCGGCTGTCATGACGAGGAAACATACTTGTTCGCACTTTCCAAAAGGTGGAAAATCACACGCAAACCAAAATAAAAGCGTTCAGCAAACAATTGCGATTTTCCTTCACAGAAGCGGAACTTAAGTCTCCCAAAAGCGCTGGAGGAACGTTTGTCATCGTCCAGTCACGTCTTGGTGGATTGACACTTTCCGATGGATGTTTGTGTGTAAATTTCCGCATCGCGAAAACACGAAAAAGCATCGAGTGCCTTGGTGATTCGTTTCAAGCACAGCAGTGCGGTCGGCTCAGGCTGGGGCCCCTCACCTGAGGCAGGAGCGATTTGCGCCCACCCAGGTTCTCCAGCACGCCCAGCATCTCCCCAAACAGCTCTGGGAAGCACGCAAGCCCGCCGTACGCCTCCACCAGCCTCCCCGCCGACATTATCGCGATCCTCATCGCCTCCGCCCTGAACCCGTCGGACTCCAGAAACGCCGCATCCCCCACCCTGGCCAGCCCCTCCTCCACGCTCATCCCGCGCGGCCGATGATCTGCCTCCCGGTCCCGCAGCCCCAGCGAACCGGGCCGCCCGCCCGCGCCCGGCAGCGCTCCGCGGATCAGTGACGTCAAAAAGGTCACCGGCTCCGGCGCGAATCTCTTGGCAGGGTCGAGCACCGCGATGGCCACGGCGCAGATCGCAAGGCCAAGGATGACATCCCGGCCATCGGACACCGGGCACGATCCCAGGCATTGATTGACGATCAAGGCCAAGGGGGTGGTCACGGCATGGGACCTGTCTCCCACAGGGAAGAGCACGGAGAAGAGGCGCAGGAGGAGGACGGAGCGCACGGACGGCCAGGGGGCCCGGCCGGAGGGGCGCGGGTCCTTGAGGCCCGCCGAGACCGTGTGGCGGATCTTTTGGAGGCGGGCCTGGGCCAGGGAGGCGGCGTAGAAGGGGACGCGGGCGGTGAGGTCGAGGAGGGGCGCGACCAGGGCATCCAGCAGGGGGCCGGGCAGCGGGGTGGCGCCGGCCAGGGCGGCGAAGTGCTGCGAGAGGAAGGAGTAGAGGACCTGCAGCAGGGGAGGGGCAGGGTGAGGTTTGCTGCAAAGAGAGAGGTGCGGCACAAAAGGCACCCCTCAAGAGCGAGTGCGCGTGAGATTGTTTCCAATTCTGTGAGAAAATGATGTGGGGACTTCCAGTGCGAGATGATAGGGGCACAACACAAGCAACAGAAAGGCAAGAAAACATGCACTCAGCGGACCCGTATGAATAGGGCAGGCATGTTCACAGTGTCCAGGGTAGGGGAGCATGGTTTAATGCAGGGGTGAGGTGACGGGACGGGTGGGAAGCATGTGTGCATTGACAGTGGTTGCCAAAAAGCAAGGAGAAAGGAAAGAAGGAAGGAGCAGCAAGACGCAGTGCTCGCAGCGACGGAGTGGCGGCACGGTTGGAGAGGAAGCGAGACACACTGGGCGCTGTGAAGGGTAAAGAATTTAAAAAATATATAAAAACCATAAAAAGGTTGAAGAAAAGCAAGGAAGCGAGTTCGAAAGAAGAGAGGAAAAGTGGAGGAGACAGCAGGAGATGGGGTCTGCCTGCCCCCACTGCGGCAAGCAGACCCAGAGAAGGCAAGCAGAAAATCATTTGTAAGTGGAAAAGAAGCAGGCAGCTGCAGCTTCGGCTGGCTGTGTTCCTGGCCAGAGGAAGGCAACAGCACAGACCACCATTGTTGCTGATGCACGTTGCCTTGTCAAATCAACAGTGTTGTGGCCCAGCAGCAAGTGATATGCCAAAGTAATACTGCTGAACTGCACAGCACCCCCACCAGAGTACTGCACAATGCGAGCAGTGACTAAACCCACATTCTTTGATGCAGGTAGCCACCAAATCATGCCATTCAACCTGGCCACCCACATTGGGGATACATGCAGAGAATAAATGTGGGGGTTCCCACTTGTGGAATACCATGCACATTCCTTGAACACATGGACAGGTATTGTTGCAACACTGAAGCCCACGTGTTGAAATATGATAGACAACTCCACCATCAACACACCTGAAGTTTCTGCTTCCCGTCTGCTGCCAGTTCCACGCTGTTGAACGTCCTGATCCTTGATATGATTTGCCCCAGATCGGCACCGCTCCTGCCTCTGCACCACCCAGCGAACTCCTCGTACGACTTGGGCACAGGGAGCGTGTATGGCAGGTCGACTGGTCCAGTACCATTTCTCCCCCCATCCATGGTCTCACCACCGCCCTGGTTCCCTGAACTGTGGCCCACCATCACATTGCCGTTCCCAGCAACCACCTCCTGCCCTTGAGGCCCAGAGTCCTTAATCTCCAGAAGGCCAGTGTCCTCACTCTCCTCTTGGGTTTCAGGTCCAGTGTCCTCACTCTCCAAAACAACAATGGACCTCGATTCAGTACCCGCCACATCCTTTGCATCCCTGCCATTCTCCAGATCACCCAAACCGGACTCGCATTCCACATTCCCATGTTCCCCATCCTCATCCTGCATCTCAGATCCGCCATTGCCATGCTTCTGCAGCATAACGTCGACATCAACTCCACCGGTCCCATCGACAGTAGCTTCGCCACTTTCCAGCTCCTCAGATTTTGAATCCACGCTGCGATCATCACCTTCTGAGCTGCTATCCAAATCTTCCAACTCTGACTGTGAGCTTTGTTGATCATGGTCCGACCCGGCTGTGCCCTGAGGCACACCAGCTGTATACCGATGAAGCACTTGCTCAGATATTTCGCGGAAGCGCTGCTGCAGGGGATCGTCTCCTGCAGCCCTTGCCCTTTGTCGTGCCTCCAGGCCAGTCAGCTGCAGGACAGCCACATCGGCAAATGCTTTTGTTGGTACGAACGTGCATTCATGACACTCAGTGGATTTCACAGGTTAGCTCCACAAGAAGCCCAATGCAGACTTCAGGTTGTGCGATGGCAGAATGCAGTTCGGTTTGCCCTTGGCACAGCAGCACATGGCAGAACAAAGACACGGTTCACAAAGGAGTGTGGTGCCAATGACGATGCAAAAGCAGGGAAATCCTGGCTCAGACAGCAACCCACGGCAGACTTTTTGACCAGCGACAGGTCAAGCACCCTGGAAGAAAAGGTTAACAGAGCAGTCAAACGGGAATGTTGCATTGCCCAGCCAACATTCAAGCTCCAGACATCCTGCACAGCGCACTGAAAGCCAGTCTCTCACCTCCTCTTCCTCACTCTCATCAGAGATTTCCTCATAATCGGCCAGATCGTCACCACCCCCTTCCTTTTCCCTGGCTTCCTGCTCTTCCTTGGCCACGATTTCTGCCAATTTCCTCCTCTTTCTCCTTGCACCATAGCCTCCTTCGCCTACATGCCACACCAACAGGGCATACACCAGCACTTCAGTCACAGCAGCTCCGTTGCAGCAATCTAGCAACACAACCATCAGCAATTTGCCCAGGTCCCTACTACAATATGCGCTGGGACCCAGCTCCTGTTCACAAACGTGCACCCATATCTGCAGACTGAAAGGATAATCCACTGTCGTTCTTCAGCAAAAGTGCTCGATTACTTATGCATTTACACATATTTTGTCTGTTTTAGTCATTTCCATTAACTCTCACTTTACCACGAGTCCTTGGCAAAACCTTTTCTGCAAGTGCAGCTACCTTGCAAGAGGTCCAACTTCTCAGCAGCCTTGGCCTCCTCCCCCCTCATTCTCATCAGTCTCTCCTGCTCCTTCGACTCCAGGTCCTTCCTCCCCTTGAATTCGACCTCCTCGGAAGTCAATGTCCGGTCAGCAGGAGTCGCTGTGGCCCCAAAGGTGAGCATCCTGGTGTCGTTGTCATATGTTGCATCCAGCTCTGGCCTGCCCTTCTTCTGCTCTGGCCTGCATCAACAACTGTGTCAATCGCAAGAACATATTCTCGCATTTGTCTGACCAACGAAGCATTGAGTTTGCAATCTTGAAGTCAACAGCGCACCAATGATCTTGGCAAGCAGAGATTCACCTTGCACTAAGGGACCCCTGCTGATTCTGCACAGGAACTGTGTTTCTGATTCTCCCACACCCACACAGCCACTAATATGCTGCTGTTACGCATACCTCAATTGCCACACACTGCACATCGCAGAGAATGACTGCACAGTAACATAAGTTTTGGCTAGATGTTCAGTCCCAGATTGATGACCTTTGGTTAACCACCTTGTGGGCATTGTTGGGCATTCTTAATGTCCTCACATGCAATTTGATCAACAACAGCCACACACAATGATGTGATATTCTGGTTCCCGAATATCACATCACAGCCAAGGGTGGCATCTGGAATCCTGAACGCGATGTGGTTTTATGGAAAAAAAAAGAACTCACATTGTTCGCTGCTTCCTCAGGAGGCTCCGAAAGGCTGTGGTGTTGAGCAACTTCTGCCAAATTTTGTCAAGCTCATCCACGTTCTCCTCCTCCTTTTCCTTCTCCCTTGCTCTTGCTGCTTTGTGCATCTTACTCTTTGCAACGATCTCTGCCAGAATCTCCTTTCTGGACTTCCTCTTGCCATCAGCGCCTGGGCCTTCTGTGGTTACAAGACAGAACATAAGAACATCCCATGATCAAACGACTGTTTCCACCCATTTGTGTTTGTGTGGTGAACGTGCTGAATGCCTGCAGCAAGTCTACTGTCATACTCCTTATAAATTACTCCATACACTAACAGACAAAATGCTTGCAGAATGTCCATTGATCTGCAACTTGGGGGGCCACAATTTGCTGCTGGCAATCAGCAGTGTCATACAAAGGGCATTTGCATGCCGCACAGTGGCAGGTCTTCATTGCACAACTGCAGCATTAGCACGTGGCTGTGCCTTTCATTTGCAACAATCTCCTCACAGTCCTGCATCTGCGGTCAATTACCTCAAAGGACAGTAGCACTCTGCATTGGGTGAGCTGCAAGCCACATCGCTGGCCATTCAGGCACTCAGGACAATGTCCCAATTAACAATTCCATAGACAATGGACAACAGATGCAATGCAATCAAGCCATGACTCCAAATGCCACTCCAAAAAATCTCAACAACATGGCTGCAACCTCATCTGCTGCACTCTGCAAATGAAATTCCTTTCCAATTGAAGAATAATACATCACAATTAAGATTCCACCTGTCCTGACCATAGGTAAGCGGTCCTTGTGCCACTTGGCAAGAAAATGCAAGCCGATGAAAAGCCTGACTGTCACCTCCACGTTAATTGAAAAAATATATGCTCTTTGAAAAGAGGGGAAAAGGAAAGAATGGAAAGCCTGATTTGGCAGGAGTAATTGCATCGGGCTGGATGAATGAAATCAAAGGATTTCCACCAGCATGGGAACAAAGTAATTGAAGGGGAGAAAATTCGCAGCTCCAGACACACTTGAAATCTTGGTGGATAAGGGCTGAAAGCTGACACTTTCTCGTGCTGATGTTTCGTGCGCTCGTTGATCAATTCGCCCTTTATTGCATTTGGGACACCTGCGTATGGAGACAGACCTCCCAACACCACAGTATGATTGCGTGAGCTAACATAGTTTATCAGTGTATACTGCAAAGTACGCAGTACAGATTTCAATTTGTTGCAAATTCACAGCCTTCAAGGCGCCGTGTTTTGCCTTTTTAGACACACCGATTCCAACCAATTCGGCCGCTTTCATCCCATCCTTTTTGGAGCCTGACGTCCCCTGGCATCGTCTTGCAAGATGGCGAATGGCCTGCATCTCTTCTCTCACAACGGGGTCCGCACACGGCCCCTCAAACTGCTTCCTATTTCAGAACCATCCTGGAAACACAATCCCCCAAACTGCGCGCATTCTGCAATTGGTCCGCAAACGCGATCCCTCAACGTGCGATGCACTCTGCGTTGCAGAAAACGAGCGGCAGAAACAAGCAACCCAGAGGCGAGGGGCAACAGCAACCCGCTCGCGCGCCGATCGCCAACACCTCAACCCACCCGGAAACTGCACGCTGTTCATGATTTCCTCCGCGATCTCCTCGTTCTCGCTATCCCCTTCCCCGCCCTCCTCGCTCCCCTCCCCCAGCGGCCGCCCCAGGTGCGTCAGCCCCTGCAGCCCCTCCCCGTCGTCGTCCGGCAGCTCGAACCGCCGCCGCTTGGCGCCCCTCATCCTCTCCGCCCGGAACCTCATCAGCGCCCGCTCCTGGTCCGTGA